GCTCACTGCTTTGTCCCAATTATTCTAGTAACTTGTGGTCAATGAAAGTAAATATAGTACTTAATACAGATAATAATATTCAGACAAAAATACTCCAATGGCCCAAAGAGATTGAACACATTATGGCACAAGTTTTGAATATTTTAGATATAAAAAATTGGGTGCTCATATAAAAACATAAAAACAAACACAAAAACTTGTATAATTGTGGTAAATCATAATCACCAATTATCATACGAAACTGATGAGAATACTTTCCAAGTAAAATCAAGTATATCTCACAAAGTGACCCATATATCATCAAACTTTCTCTTGCCACTGGAAATACTGCAAAATTGGCATAGAACTGTATTTTGAGAAACTGTGAGCAGGAAGACATATGACAAGTGTTTCATTTTAAATGTGTGCGCAATAACATGACTATGTATCCATTGCATTCAACAATCCTCTTGAGGCAAATTTCAACAAATGCTGCTGTCTTAAATCTTCAACTTTTCAAACTCCTTATCAGTAAGATGTTTCCAAGGATATCCCATGCACCTGGAAATTTCCTTCTGCAACAGTTCATATGACTGAGTTTTCTTTTTCAAATCGGCATAATACTCGTCAGACCATTCAAGAGTTTTCGGCCAATCAGTTTTCTTGAGAACTGCATTGTGCCGGACATAAAACTTTTGCAACTTCTTGGCCTGTGAAGCCACTAGGAGCAGCGTCATGGATGAGATCCTCTCCCGTATTATGAGCACCCTCAGTTCAGGGCACTGTCTGACCAGCATCAGCACCAGGCCATCGCAGCGTTCGTGGAAGGATCTGGAGCCATGAGTTCTGGGAAACCCCTTCTGGGCATATAACCTCAATGTTTTTCGGTAATGGTCTGTGATCATCATGACTGCCTCTGGGGTCATTTTCAGATATGGTGAATCATACACAATGGAGGTCACCGGTGCACGAGGCTGGAAAAGGATTTCCTCCCTCGTCCCTCCACGTGCCTCAAGTCGCACTTGCAGGTGAGGAGACATCTGCTTGACTTCGAACCAAGTCTGGCTGTTAATGGGGGCCACGCCATCTGTATGCCTGTCTTGCACAATGTGAATGTCTGTCAGAGAAGTGCTGGCCAGCATGGCTATCACATCACTACTCAGGTGCTGTGGACTGATGATGAGCTTCTGTAAAGACATGAACATTCCTGCATAAATCCATGAAGAAATGGCATAGGATACTCCTCATAGAACTCTAAAAATGCTGACAACACTGTCATGAAGGCATACAAATTGTAATAGTCTGATATGGGTTTGATAATTATCTTTTTGAAAAATTCCCCAACTCTATCCAAACACATCTTGGCTTTGTACTGGCTGAGGGTGTACATGTAGGAATTGCGATATGGGCGCATGCGTCTTCTTGTGAGGGTTCTCTCTCCCATTACAAAATGCTCCCATACTTTAGATGAATAAAAGAGGTCATACCAAGGGCGACAGACCATGGAGCAATAGTAGCGCTGTTTGTATGTCAGTTTGGAGTACTCCTCCTCCAGTAGGACAGCTGGTAGCTCTGACCAGCACATCTTCTCGTATTCTTCACCTGAGAATATCAACATGAAAACAAAGAGCTGCTGAAACTGTTACATGCTCGGTATAATGTAATGAGAATTATTATTTAAAAAAGGGTGTCCAGATCATGCAATTTAAATGGTATGGTTTCTATGGAAACAAGTAAAAAAAACTTAACAGTTATCCATTAAAACATTAACATGCGTCTTTTATGTCATTGATAATAGTGACTTCCCTTTCTTTCTTATTTTTAGAAACAACTCAAACCAAAAGTAATTTGTTGAACACTTTGCGTTATCACTACAAATTGTAATGTCCACATTTTCTTCTCTTTGGGAATAACTTCAAATCACAAACAATTTCATGCACACTGTTATATATATATATATGCACCATATCATTCTAGAAGTGTGAGCAATGTTATCTTGAACTTTATCCCTGGACACAGAACTGTTCTGCTGGCATTGATCCAGTCACGAATGTTGGAGTGATTTTATGACAAAAATTTTCTCAGTCACTTCATTTGTGCCTGGGACACAATCAACATGTGTATAAAAAACATTTGAACAACTTTCATGTTTTGTCCAGTGGCGTGGATAAAAAAACTTTTGTAGAGTTGAAAATCTAAAATCGGTTTGCAGAAATAAATATGAACTGCTCGATTCTCCTAGAGGTTTTGGCATGTTCATATAAACTCATATCATCAATATAATAAGCTGCGTTTGGAAGTTAAAATGCAACTTGTAAGACAAGCTAGAAGTTGCATTTACTTTATACTAATTTAAAAAGAAATCGAAACTGGAATAAAAATTGGCTAATCCTAACAGAAGGGTGTTCTGCGGGCTTCGCAGTGTCACTACTATATCCGTATTCCATGGCTGATAAAAAAAGAAGTCAAAGCAATATTTACATATACCAGATACAAATGGTACTAAATAGTCATAAGTCATGCATACTGTATGCAAGGAAACAGAATGGAAATTATCTTTGTTGATCCATCCTCCATTTATGATCGTCTTCAAAAAAAAAAAAAAAAAAAAAAA